GAAGCATCTGTTATTCCTGATTTAAAATAGACCTGCCAAAGGGGCCCATAGACCATGCTCTGTACTTTGGATTGTTGTGAGCGTTAAGGGAGACAGAATGACTGTCTTTCCCAGTAGGCTGGATCGTGATAGACCTAAGTCCAGTCTCCAGAATCAGTTGTTGGGGGTTGAAATCTCAGCTTGCCATACAGAGGGCACGGGATCCGTGGCAGGCCAGGTTTCCTCTTGGACCAGGGAATCCTGGCAGACGAACGTAGGGTAATCTGAGGATGCACATCTCATTGTGATCCACAGATTGGACAAACCTCTGGGGAAGTCTCATGACCACACCAGCAAAGAATTAGGTGAGGGCTTGTGGGTGTGTGAATATCCAGTGTGCTTAACCGTGGATTTGTGTGTGTTTGTGTGTGATTCAGGTGCCCTGACGGTCGACACTTAAAAAAGGGGACATCAAACCCCCAGGAGGTGAAGACCATGGCACACTGTGACCCCAAGAGAGGGGCAAACAGACTCATGAGAGCCCAGACCCTCAAGAAGCAGCAGAGGGCCCCAGCTGGGCCAAGGGCTCCCCCACCCGAAGAGGAAAATCCTAGGGTAAGTCTGGCTCTGGATCTCTTGGGCATCAGGAGGCCCTGTGGTCCTCAGGGACTGGGTTAGATTCAAAAGTGCTCTGTCACCGCCACCCAGATTTCTTTTTCTTTTTCTTTTTCTTTCTTTTTTTTTTTTTTAATGAGACGGGCTTTCACCATGTTGGCCAGGCTGGTCTTGAACTCCTGACCTCAGTAGATCCACCCGCCTCGGCCCTCCAAACACCTGGGATTACAGGCATGAGCCACCACACCCAGCCCAAATTTCTTTTTCTATCCAAGGATGGCCTGGTTTGGGTCCTCCTCTGAGGCCCCACAGGTCCCTTGAGAGGCCCTTGAGAGCAGCTTCCCTTCCTGCCTAGAATCCCATGTAGCCAGCTTTGGCTGTGTTGTTGACACTGGGTTCATGCTCATGACCCTTAGAACCTTGAGTGTTTCCCGTTAAGATTTTCTCTGTAACATGGGCTCTGGGAAGGAACACGGTATCTGAGCTCTCCCAGCACTTAAGGGCCCCCATGCCGCCGTCCCCTCCCTAGAATCCCTATTGAGCTCTCAATTCACAATCTGTCTCGTTTTTGATATTTGATTTCTGCCTCAAATGCTCGTGCACTGACAGCACTTCCTTTCCACCCACAGGTCAAGTGCAAAGACTGCGGGGCCTTTGGCCACACGGCCAGAAGTACAAGGTGCCCCATCAAGCGCTGGAGCGGAGCCGTGGTCCCCCAGACCTCTGGCAAAAAGGAAGGGAAGGAAAACCTGAAACCATGGAAGCCCCGGGTTGAAGTGAACCCGGGGCCCTGGAGCAAGGACAAGGGAGAGAATGAAGGGAGACCAAGGTGAGCAGTGGGAGGGGTTTTCACCGCTCTTTGGGTACTGCCACCTAAGAGCTGGGTGTTCTCCTGGGTGCCACACCCAGGAGCACCCTTCACCCTGGGAGACAGATTCAGGGGTGGGAGGGGCAGGGGTGTTTCGTGGAGGTTGCCCAGGACAGGGGGAAAAGCAATGGAATGCAAAGGAACATCCTTAGTTGGGAAACCTGGAGGGCCACCTGGAGGATGGGAAGCTTGGCACATGAGGGAAGGTGCCCAAACAGGAAATGGGACTGGGCCCCAGATAGGGTTCTCCCTGTGCCCTGGGGAAAACTAGGGGTCATCACCTGAACTTTTTCTGTTCTGCAGGCCACAAGGCCAGCAGAGGAAGGCTCTCCTCCAGATAATTTCCGGGAAACCTCAAGCCAAGCAGCTGCCAAATCAAAAAGAATGGATGGAATCCTGTGACTTTCTGAGGGTGAGTGTCGCCCTGGGCCCCTGCTCTTTTTCTCCTATAGGTTACCCTGGGGAATTTCCTTTCAGGCCCACATCTGTGGAAGGGAATTGGAGGCCTTCTCAGCCTCAGGGTCTTCCTTGCCTTCTCAGCCTCAGGGTCTCAACGACCTCTTCCTTGCCTTCTCAGCCTCAGGGTCTCAATGACCCTTTCAGGTCCATTTGATTCCAGGTGAAGGCATCTGAAGATGCCCTATTTCCTGGTGCTTTCTCTCTGTCCGACTATTGCAAGACTGCCAACAACACTTTCCTAGCGGTGTGAGGACATTAGGTCACTCCA